AAAAAAATTAATCATTTTTATTTTCTATCTATCATAATAAACACAAACGAAGGAAAATATATCGTTATTATTTTTCTTCTTTGAAGGATAGAAAATATACCCTTCTTACTTTTCATCCCTCTTATTTTCTATCATTCATACCAAACTGAGCATTAAAGGATGGACGCCAAGTTTTGAATCGTTTGTGTTTTGTTTGATACGATAGAAAAATGAAATGATAGAAAGATAGAAAGATGGAAAGTTGAAATAGTAAATAAAATATTGTGTTTGGTAAGGAATGAAAATAAAAAGGATAAAAAAGTGATGGATTAACTTTACTTCTAACTCACCAAAATTAATCTCTACAAAATTAAAAGAAAAAGTTGATGAAAAATTAATTATATATGTTGAAATATATATTATTTATCTATATATNTCACCAAAATTAATCTCTACAAAATTAAAAGAAAAAGTTGATGAAAAATTAATTATATATGTTGAAATATATATTATTTATCTATATATTATTTAATACATACATATATCATATTTCTCAATTGCATATTGTGTATTAATTAATTTCATATATAGATATAATATTAAAATATGTATTTATATTTTTTTTTAAAAATTAAAAAATAAAATAAAATTTGGCCATTGGTGAGAAAATTTTTGAAGAGATCATGGCGTAGGGTGGCATTATTATCCCGACAACATTGGTGTATATTCAACTGTTGTCGTTTTCTTAATTGCAAAGCTGACAAGACTTGTTCTTAAATTCCCTTTCATTGACTTTGTTCAACCATTGTCATGCAATTTACTCGTCGTTGGTTGTATGAATATGTGGCATTCGTCAAACGTGTTCTGGCAACCGTTGATTTGAGGAATGATTTTGAATGTGTGATGAAGGACTTTGCAAAGATAGTGAAGATCAGAGCAGGTGATTATGGCTCATTAGTTCAACTTAAATCATTTCTAACCGGGACTCAAATCTGTATCATCGACTCAAATTTAAATTTAAGTAAAAAAATCTAAAAAATTTGTTCCAATCTAAATGAAAAATTTTGAAAGATGAAGAATTTTAATTAGATCAGGATAATTCAAGTCTCTTTTTAAAATATGAAGGATTTTGACAAAAAATTATAATATTTGAATTGAGTATGGAAAAAAAATTTATATCAAGCTAAGGATGGTAACAAGATTGAGATTGTGAATTTTCACAATCCGTGATTTCAAATTCAATTCAAATTGAAACTCAATTTCAGCCTCACTTTATAATTAAAATTTAAATTTCAAACCGAATTATGTTACCCAATACTCAAAACCTAAATGAATCCGTTTGAATCTGTGTTTCAATCCGAGAATAAAATCCAAGGATTGAATATGAATTTTATCCCGAAATTCAAATGTTTAAATACATGCAGTATGCGGATTGAATGGTTTGGACTTTTGATTGGCCCAGACTCGGGTTAGGGGTTTTCTAATTGAAGTAAACAGAAGTTGACCATCAAGTACTTGTGCAACCTGCACAACCATAGGTGCTACATCACATTTGCCAGTGTGAGGAGGGATTTGGGGTTCAAATATATATATATATATATATATATATATATATAAACACAGAGTAATAAAAAAAATAGTCAACAATAAACATATTTATACTTATACCAAAAATCAAATCACAATTATAGAAGAGAAAAAAAATTTAAGCACCAATTTGTAATGAAATTAAACCATGGTAGTGATGGTGGAAGATAATGATGGTTGTGGTGAGTGACAATGACCATGGTGGTGGTGGCAACTGTGGGGTGGCAACGATGATGGTGGTGGTGGGTTTTANGTGATGGTGGAAGATAATGATGATTGTGGTGAGTGACAACGACCATGGTGGTGGTGGCAACTGTGGGGTGGCAACGATGATGGTGGTGGTGGGTTTTATGTGGCAATGGTTGTAGTGGCAATTATGATTGACGACAGTGGTGGTGGTGGTGGTGGTGGTGGGTGTGGGTTGTGGTAAGCGACGGTGATGGTAGTTGGCAGTGGTAGTGATGGGGCGACGACGACGATGATAGTGGTGGTGGATTGTGGTGGTGGGATAGTAACGATGGTGATAGTGGATGACGATGAATACTTCTAGGTGACAATGTGATGAGTGATGACGAATAGAGATAGTGGTGGTCGTGGTAAATATGATGGGGGGTGGGTGACAGTGGTTGGCAACGATTGTGGGCAACAACAGGTAGTGGTGGGTTGTGGTGGGCAACAATGGTGGTGATGGGTGTTGATAGTGGTGATAGACAACGATGGTGGTGGATGGTAAAAAATATAAGAATGAGATGACGATGGTGGTGGGTAGTGACAGTGAACGAAGGTGGTAACAATTGGTGGTGGATGTCGATGGTAATGGTTGTAGCAAAGGTGGTGATGGAGTAGCGACGGAGGTGGTGATGTGACGACAATGACGATGGTGGTGATGGTCGTGGGGTTATTGGTGGGGCAGTAGAAGTGGTGGTGGTAAGGGTGATGGTGGGACAATTGCGATGGTGGCGGCAGCGACAGTGGTAGTTGATGTGGTAGATGCGATGGTGGAGTTGTAATGGTGTTGGTGGTGGTGGTGATGGTAGTGGTGATGATGGTGATGGTTGTGGTGGGGCGGTGGGTGGTAGTGGAGGTAGTTATGGTGGTGGAGTGGCGGTGGTAGTGTTAGTAATGGTGAGGGTAGTAGTAGAGATGAGACGGTTTCAAATGCTATTTTTTTTTTAAATACTTATGAAAAGTTATAAGTTTTAGAATCACTTTTAAAAAATTATCTCAAATATACCTTTAGAAATTTATTTATCATATTAAATTTGATGTGTTAATATTAGCTGTTGAATTAATTTAAAAATAAAATTTAAAGAGATCTCAATCACGAAAATTAAAAAATATTTTATTTATTTTTAAGATTTGAATTATATTATATTATATATATATATATAACAAATCAATGCAAGGGATCAATCTTCCATCTGCCTACTACCACCGGAAGGAGAACCGAGAGTGGAAGACAGTGGACTAGCTACCAATCCTTCAAACCAAGAAGCTTCAAACTTGCAATGATTGGTATTATAAATATATATACCCTGACAACCTAGACTTACCCATAAAACAGCCACTGACTACCTGACCATGAAGATGACTTCTAACCTAAGGCTCTACACCACCAAGATTCCTTACGAACTGTAAACCGCGACATGGTATCTTCGGAAAATTTTATTTAGATCAAATTTGTTAAATTTATTTAATAATTGAATGCATTATAATTATTAAATTAACAACAAATTTTCATTAATAATAAGGTTTATTGTCAATCTAAAAAACAAAAAATGATTAGATAAACAAATAAGGTCAATAAATTTGCCCCACATAACATTGTTAAATTCTATATATACATACATAATATATAAATATACACACATGTCCAATTATTGTATTTTACTATTTTTGGTCTGATAATTTAAATTTTCCACCAATCAAAGCAAGACACATAAAGTTTTTTATATTTTATTATTTTATTTTATCATTTTTTTGCAATCAATAGTTAGAAACAAATCAAAATAAAATGTAGGATTAACAAATAATAGATGTGTTTGAGAGCATGCATATGCATTATTGGTTATTGACCCTTCCTTATAATCTTAAAATAAAATGGATGACTGCCAACCTAAGGTTCAACACGACCAAGATTCTGTGCAAACTGTAAGTCACAGAAGGGTATCTTCCTAATTATTTATATATATATATATATATATGTGTGTGTGTGTGTGCGCGCGCGCGCGAGCATGTAGATTGTTGACCTTTTGTTTCATGATGTTCAAATAAAAATGAAAAAAGAAGAAGAAAAAACGTCAGTGTATGTCTCCTTCTTGTCCATGATAGGTGACTTCCCAGCTACTTCCATGAAAGAGAGCCAAGAAAAAACACAAGTGGAAAAGACCGTTGGAAAAACAAAAAAAAGTTACAATAATTCTTTAAAAACCTAATGAATCCAAAGCTTCCAACCCGCCAACTTTGAGAGGCAAATGGCAATACAATAAGGCTACACGAGTGGCCAAACACAAGGCTTTTTTAAATTCTCTTTACCATGCAAGATATGAACTTGAAGAAAACAATAGTATTAAAATTTGCAAAACTGGTTTTTATTTCCAACATTGCCATTAAGACAACCAAATATATATATATATATAAAAGAGTTTGTGTTTGAAGCTAACCCACCTCGGAGTGAGGACCGATGATTTTTCTCCAGTTTTATCCTTGATAGTTCATTTACCTTGAATTTAAATTAAACCCATTATATATAAGTGAGTCTCTCATTAATACATGGTGGTCGACTATTAAGGAAATATTATATATAAAACAAATATTAGAGTAGATTTAGTTAGCATAGCATTATTGTTAAAAAAAATCGTGTAAATATTAATGGTACGGTAATGACATGAATCAAGCCACACGGCTGTGATGGTGTTGAATGATGTTATTAATTTATTTGTGGTAAACTCTGCCATTAATATCGATTTTTTAATTCTCTTTACTATGCAACGGTCTCGGTAGATATAAATTTAATTGAAAGAGGAGTATTAAAATTCACAAAACTATTATTTATTTCCAACATTGGCACCTAGACAACCAGAAAAAATGTAAAGAAAAGGAAAAAATAAATAAATAAAGCAAACCACCAGGTCCCGGAGTCAGAATTATTGTCGGAAAGAGTTCGTGATTGAAGCCAAGCACACTTCCACACCAAGTAAACTGATAAAGGACTAGAACTGTAAAACAAAGTCGCGGATATATTAAAGATTAAGTACTGGCATGAATCAAGAGTCACGCGACTTTGCATGATTCGATTTTGCAGGGCTGTTTATCAGTTTAATTGGTGAAAAACTGTGGAACCCTCTTGTTCATATGCTGCAAATCATGAAACTCTTGTTCAGAAACTTGAAATTTGATCCTAAAAATCACCAGAAACTTCATTGATCACAAGCTCATCGACCCCATTTGTGGTATGGCGATGGAGATGATAGGGCAGCCATCTTCTTTTCTTGCCTCAAAACCTTGTAAAACTTCTTAATAAACTCTTCAGCTGCCATGTCCACCTGAGTATTATCACCCTCTGTGTCCTTCAACGGGAACGGCGAGTCCGTTATTCTCAGCTGCCTCACGGCGGGGCTCGGCCCGAACCCCGGCAACGTCAACGGCGAGGCCTCGACCATCTCATAGTTATTCAATAGATCAAACACCTTGTGGACAACATTTATGTCCTCCACATTTTGGCGAAAATGGTGTTTGCGTTTTGGGTAGAAGGAGGGAAAAGCTGGGCTATTGCTACAGCTGAACTCGTATTCTCGGAGACGAGGAGAGATAAAGGACATGCCGGAGTCGGTTGATCGGCAGGTCAACGCCGAGTAGTCGTAGTTGACCATGAGGTTTCCAATGGCTTTGCCGAAGATCTTGCTTCGTTTCAGCATCATGTGAAGATCAGTAAGCATTTTGCTTTTTGATATGCCTTTTCTGAGCATATAGAACACTATCTTCACTATGCTCAACAGTTTCTTGGCTATCACTGGTGGGCTTTGCTCTATTTCCATGTCTGGAGGAGGAGGAGGAGGAGGAGGAGGAGGAGAAAGAAGAAGAGACGGAGAGAGAGAGAGAGAGAGAGAGAGAGAGAGATCTTTGGTTGGTTCGGAAAAGAGAGGAGAGGGGCAGATATATATATATAGGTCCTTATAAGGAAGAAGACAACACACAAAAAAAAAATGTACACTAATATACAAAAGGCTACACTTCCACTAATTAGCTCAATCGTCTAAAGCTTGGGTCAAAAGGTTGAGTATTGCTTGGTAAAGTAGTTTTTTTTTTATCAGACCTTGGTAAAGTAGTTCAAGAATGGCAAAACAGGAATGCTAGTGGAGGTAATTTGGGTATTACTTTGATAATTTAATATATAATTATTATTGAATATACTAATTGATTATAATAGAGATAGGATCTATTTTCATTAGGTTTTCAATTTAAGGACTCGAGTAAATATAGGTAATATTATTATTATTATAAAAATATTTTCATTTTATTAGGGCTAATAATTTTTCTCAAAGAGATCACTTGATACAGTTGGATGCAAAAATTAGTGTATTTAGATTTAGTCTTAATGATTCTAGGGATCATTGGCCTATGTGACTTATTGAATTAATAAATTTATATGATTTTGAATAAACTGTACATAAACAAAAACAAATAAGATACGTGATTATAAATAAATTGTGTATAAATTAAACAAATTTTGACAAAATATAACTCAAGCGACACAACCCATTACAAATCGTATAATTTATGGCATTTTGTTTCTCGTATTATATTAAATCTCTAAATTAGGACGTTAAATTAGATCTATTTTCAAATGATATTTATACTTAAAAATCGTATCTAATTTGTTGATCTAATGATATAACTTCTTTGAAATTATTGGATCGACATCAAATTTTAATACTTGATAAGACCTAAAGTCAATTAAAAGGCCATAAAAAATTAAATTAAAAATTAAATCAACAAATTAAATTTCAAAAACGTTACGTTTTGCAACAGTAGGCAGGTGTGCGGTTGACGTACTTATTGCGAGAGTAGAGTAGCCCACTTTTATGTGGTGGGAAATTTTTTTTATGAGATATTTTTGTTTGTTTACAATTTGTAAGTAGCTTTCGGAGATTACTTGGAAGGTCAATTCAAAATTATTAAATTACTTATGCTTTTCTCGTCTTCAATGATTGAAGATATTTGAGGGGGGTGTCTTTAATGTTGAAACTGGCCTATGACTTGGACATAAGGTTATTTGCTTGAGGACAAGTTAGCTTTGTCTTGCTACAAATTTGGGTAAACTTGGGCTATTCCAAATTTTAATTTCGGATTTCGATTCAATCGAATTAGTTTAAATTTCTAGTGTTGATCCAATGGAGTGTGCCATCGTCGTCCACCAAAGCAGGCATGAATGTTTTTATGTGGTTATTGAATACTTTAGCTAAGGAATGGAAATTTTTTGAATTAATAGGCAAAGACCACTTAAGTTAGACTTGACAATTTTAGATATGATTATTAAATGAACTCAAAATTAGTAGAAAATTAGAGAGTTTTAGTATTGATATAATTGTGAACTAATTAGACTCATTCAATAAATGAGTCGAATTTATTAAATAGAACGTATACACAAGACCAAGTCACAATACATGGCTACAAATGGACAAGATACGGTTGAATAAATAAATAAGAGCGCAACACTTAGGCATATCACAAACCTAGCAAGATAAGACAATCAATTACAGGCCTTAAATGTTGTCAAGTCTCATTAGTTGTGTGAACCCCGGGCAGAACTTTGTCTAAAATTCAAGACAAGTGATATAGTTGAATGTTAGTCCTATGATTCTAATAAGGGTATTCATCTAATCGAGTTTATCGAACTTTAATATGTTTATGTTTGACTGTGTTAAGTTTAATTAGGTTTGAGCTTGAGTTAAACTTAAATTCCTTTTCAACCTTGACTCAAAAAAACTTGTGAACATTCGAGTTGAACTTGAACAAAATGTGATAGAATCTAATGAATTTTAATTTTTAGCGAGCCTAAGTTAAATTCGAACTATTTGGATTGATTAAATCCAATTGTTTTTTATAATTAAAGGCCAAAAAAACAAAATGGAAAGGACAAAAAGTAGTACAATTCACGGAGCGTGTGCACATGGTGCTATTTATGTGGCTCTCCCACCTTTCTTGGTGAGAGATTGGTTGGCCGCCACTGCCAGCCTGACACGGTTGGCATGAATGAAACGCAGCACCAACTTCGGACACGTGGCGCTCCATTTGAGGTCTACAGTCAATCTGCAGTCGTACACGCCATTTGGATCTTAAGTAGCCCAGTTCTCAGCCGTTGGATTAGCTGGGGAATTATAATATAGTCACTTTGCTATAACAGTGATCAAAACAATCGATATCAAATGCCATTCAAAAGAGGGAGGTAGCTCAGGCTCCCGGACCATGGCTTTGGTGATTTGGCCAATGGGTAAGTGGATATACTCACGCTAAGTTAAAATTAAGAGCATTATTATGTAATTTAAATATATAATTCAAATTTATATTTTAAATGAAAGAAATTATTGGATCAGTGAATCCCATTTAAAAAAGTTGATGGAGACATATTTATTTAATGATTCCCTTTCATTTGAAATACAAATTTAGATTATAAATTTAAATTATATATTAGTATTTTCCTAAAATTAATAATTGAACTGAATTCATTGAGCACATTTTTTTAAATAGTTTAAAAATTTATTTAAGAAAATGAGTTGAGTTTGTATAGTTCAACTTGATTATTAGTCGTAACACCAGGATCTCAAATTTAAGATCCTAATTGTTTAGTGGCTCTCGAATTAATGCGTTACGATAATTTTTTATAATAAAATTTACGTATTCAAAGCTCTCTGTTCATTTAAAATTTTATTTGAAATTTCAAATGTGTAAAGTTAAAAATGAGCATCAAATCAATTGCGTCTTTAACGAGTCTCATCATTGATTCAACGAATACAATTAACTTCGTATAAGTTTTTGGTGCACAAATTCGGTGCACATAGAATTATTTATTTCAAATTTGAGATCTAAATATTTTTTAGGCAAGTGTGTTTCAACTTTNCACATAGAATTATTTATTTCAAATTTGAGATCTAAATATTTATTAGGCAAGTGTGTTTCAACTCTTAACCATAGAAAAAAAATTAATTCCGTTTTTTTTTTTATTTTTGAAAACATGAAAACACAAAATATTACCAAACACGACCTAAACCTCTTGGTTTTAGGAATCCACCCAAAAATCAAAAGAGAAAGTCAATTAATTAATTATAAGGAGATTTCAAAAACGAAGTTAAGCATACGAGTTGGTTTGAAAGAGAAAAAAAAAAAAGAGTAATACTATTGATACCTAATTTATTGACATAATTTGTTGACCTCATTGTGACCTTTACATTGACTGTAACCTCTATCAAACAATAGAATTTGATATTGATCTAATGATTCTTATGAATCCACATTATTATGTCAGAAAATTAGATCAAATTTTTAGATTCNTTGTGACCTTTACATTGACTGTAACCTCTATCAAACAATAGAATTTGGTATTGATCTAATGATTCTTATGAATCCACATTATTATGTCAGGAAATTAGATCAAATTTTTAGATCCAAATAATATTATTTAAAAAAAATGTGTAAAATCACCAGTCCTATGTTCAAGTAGGATTGTCAATTTTAAACAAAACGTGTTAACACGACACGAAATGAACACGAAAATTAATGGGTAGGAGTCGAAATAAACGAGTTAATGGATTAAAATAGGTCAATACGTTTAAACACAAAAAAAATCATGTCGGGTTCATGTCAAAATTAGTTCAACCTAATTTTGACCTGATTAACCCATATATTTTAAATAGATTGACATGATTCAGACACGAACTCAACTTAACCCATTATAGACCCGTTTAATCCGTTTATGACAATATAGTTTATCTATCATATATGATTGATATGATTTTAACATTACTACTTATTAATTCTTGCTTCTATTGTGATAATTGGTAGTATAGTTTTTAACATTATTATGACAGTATATTAGTATAGTTCTTCCTTTAATTTTTGGATTGAAATTTAAATGCATTTTAATTAATTTTATTGATGAGATGTGATATGTTATTTGTAAAAAAATTATTTGAAATTTTAAATGAATGATTGAATGATGTATTAAATAGTTATAAACTAGTGTAAAAACATGTTATATGTGTTAAAGAAGTTAAACAAATCATATTATGTGTGTTAACTCGAAAATGACTTGTTTATTAAACATGTTAAACAAGTCGGATTTGAGTAACCTGTTTAATGGTCAGGTCAGGTTAATGTTTATACATCTCGACATAATTATTAAACATGTCAAGTTTGAGTTTTAGAATTTTTAATACAAACTCAAAATCTATCGGATACAAAATAACCTAACTTGATACGTTTTACACCCTAAGTTGAAGTGTCTTTGACGGCATACTTGATGTGTGTAGTTTTTTGGTGCTTAGGTGCAACTACGGTATGCATTGTAGCTATTGTTGAAAACGATATTTGGTTGGGATGATTTTTTATTATAGATAAAAAACAAAAAAAAAAAGATACAAATATAAAAGAAGTGAGATCTATAAAATTGATTTTTTATAAGCTAAAATGTTAAAATTAACGGGGATAAAAAAAAGGTTAACAACACTTTTGGTTCTAAAAATATATATTTTTTGTTAATTTAGTTTTTAGTATATCAAATTTATTAATTTCGTTATTAAAATATTCAATTTGTGCTATTTTTTATTTTTATATAAATGGATTGTCAGGTTTTTGACAGAATGATCATGTATTGGGTACGTAATACAATCTAAAAAAATAATATGGGGTTACTTCCGTCAAAAAATTTGACAGATTATCTGATTAAAGATCAAAGTGATACGAATTAAATATTTTAGGAATCAAATTAACAAAATTGATACACCAAGAACTAAATTGACAAAAAATAAATATTTTAGCA